GGCGGCTGTCGGCAGTCGCAAAGTCACCTGCAAGTGTAAAGTGGTGTTTTGCAGCAGTCTGCGTCCGTCCCTATGCCACCCAGCCGACTACAAGCCCTCATGAGATAGGGATCTCCTGTCCAGGCCCACAGGTAGCAGATGCCCCCCCCCCCCCCCCCCTCTCTTATCTTGCTGCCTCGCAAAGGGCTGGCCTACGTGTGTTCGTTTGGTATCGGGTATCCGATTACCACTTAATTGCATTACCGCCAATGATAGTAAATAACAAGATGGGCCACTCAGCCAAAAAAAATGTCCGCAGGAAGTATGCTCTTTGCTTCAGATGGCGCTGCAGTCTGTTTTGAAGCTCTCTTTCGTTTTTCCAGAAGAAGAATAGGAATAGCACCTCCTTGCGTGTGCAGATCGACTGCTGTTCATCAGCAGTTCGGGTTCGTTCAGTACGGAGTTTTAGTGTTTTTTTTATTTTAATGACCTCTTGCCTTTCATTCTAAAGTCAAATTAAACAAAGAAAACAATCACCCTTTCCTCCGGAAGAGTTTTTTTTGTCAGCGTAACCATTAAAAAAAAGCGTTCTTCCGAAATTCATTCAAAAACTTGCTAGTTTCACTTTGATTTTTTAAAACTCAAGTAGGATAACTCTGTTCGCTAAAGGTGCGCTTTTGCGAAGAGGGCGCCACCGAATTTTGAGGACACTTTTTTAATTGGCTCAAAGAGAGAAGTGACCCATCTTGTCTTGTACTATCTTTGTTACCGCTCACGGCGACACCTCTTGTTTGTCTGTAATTTAAGAGACTGGTATCGACGCCCTTTAATTAAGAAGTAATCAAAGAGACCACCCATTTGCCTTACACGGCGCGAAGTTCGTTTTGTGTGTTGTGTGTTGTTGTGTTGTTACCACCTTCAGCGTTTTGTGTGCTTTGTTTTCTGAATATCTGCTCCTTTTTTCTGGATTACTTTCACAAGTGTATAACTTGGAGTACTTGTACATTATTCTGTCGATGATTGTTACCTTGCACTCTTGTTTTATCTAAACAGTATCAGTGGTGCTTTCTTTAATTGTGGGATTAAGTAGCTGCTGGAACCAGCACTGTTTATTTCAACCTCAGCTGTTCATCAAGATGGCGAGGAGTCCGAGGAGCCAGACAGGATAGATACTTATAGTGTTTCAAGAACATTGAAAAGCGGTGATAACGGTAAATATAATTTGAACCAACACAATTAACGCACATACATGATCTCGTTATCTTATTCAGCGATGCAGTGTGTCTATCAGGACTTATTGTACATTCTGTTGTTTCACGTACTTTCTTTTACAAATTCTGCTGTGAAGGATGGCTATAGTAGAAGAATGCGAGTTCTTAGAATGAAAGTAATTTGAACTACACTTTACTTGAAACGTTGGAAGAAATGTTCTGTGAACGATAATTGTAGATCTGGATAGAAATCAGTCTAGTGATCAGAAGGTGACAGTCTACAAATTTCCTAAAGACTTCGAGAAAGCAAAGCTTGGGTGGCGAGTTTGCCTAATAAATGGAAGTAGAGGGTGTCACTGATTTTATAGCTTTACCTTGCATTGGCCTAAAAATGTTCAAAATAGATCCTACAACCTGGAAGAGGCCATCGTCTAGCAGTAACTCCAACACTTTTCCAAGTGCTGAAATCGTATGTTACGTGTTATCCCGAAGTAAGCCCCGACCAACTACAGATGTCGTG